TTTTTTTTTCCCCCTCCTTCCTTTCCCCGTTTCCCCTCCTCCAAAAAAAAAAAAAAAGGGGGGAGGGGGGGGAAAAAAAGGGGAAGGCCAACCAGGAACCAACCAAACCAAACCAAACCAAAAATTTTTATTTTTTTTCCGGGGGAAAATAAAAAAAAAAAAAAAAAAAGCCCCCTTTGGTTTTTTTTTTTTTTTTTTTTTTTTTTTTTTTTTGGAAAGAAATCTCATCCGCCATTTTTATTCTCGTTCCCATCATCATCATCATTATTTTTTTTTCCTTTTCATCGCCTTCCCCTCTCCAAAATAAAAAAGAAAAAAAAAGAAAGAGAGAAAGAAAGAAAGAAAAAAAAAAAAACTTTACAACAACTCTTGAAAACTTTTGTGTAGTGAGCAATAAATATTAAAAAAAGAAAAAAAAAAAACTTTTCACCGATTATTAATTTGATGAATATTTTCAATGATTTATTATTATTATTATTATTATAAGAATTTTCTTTTTTTTTTTAATTCACCTGGAGTCTTCTTCCCCTCCCCTTCTTCCCCCTTTCTTCCTTCCCGTTCTAGCATCCTTCATCTCCTTCACTTCCCATCTCTCTTTCCGATCGGTTTTCACTCATTTTCTTCAACATTTTCTCCTTTTCATTTTTTCCTCCTTCTCTCCCTCTCTCTCCCTCTTTCTTCTTCTTTTCCCCGCCTTCTCAAATTTCGACTTCCCCCCCTCTCCTCAAAATCGAGACGTTAAACAATAAGACTGACTCCTCATCATCGATATTTCGATACAAGACGATTAAACAAAACAAAAAAATTTTTTTTTTTCGGCAGTTCTTCTTGCACTTTTTTTTCTTTGTTTTCTCTCTTCTTCTTCCTCTTCCTCTTCTTCTTCTTTATCCACTTATTGCGTATGACAGGAATAACTAACATTAAGAAACTCACAAAGCGTGACTTTTACGAATTTCATTAAAAATTTCTCTCGCGGGTGGCACATGAGCAAAGACAAGAGAAATTTTACCCGAAATGACACGAAAAAAAAAAAAAAAAAAAAAAAAAATTATGTTCGCATGAAAGCTTTCTTGTTGTTGTTGTTGTTGTTTTTTTCTACTTCCACGTGGCGTTAATTCCCTTACTACTCCTTCCCCGTTTTTTTTTTTTTAAACATCACGCCCTTTTTAATTTCACCGCAAAGACCCTACATTTCTCTTTCTCTCCCTTTCTTTCGTTAATGAGTGAAAAATTGAAACGAGGTTACAAAATCGTAGGTGCCGAAGTGGGAGGGGGAAAAACAGATCCGCCGAAAATTTTCCTTTCGTTTTCCTTTTTCTCCAGAGATGTGCGTAAAAAAATACAAAAAAAAAAACATTAAACGTCCTCATTTTTTTTCACTTTTGTTTTTTATTCCTTTTCTTCTTCGTTTAAATATCTTCCGGTATTATTATTATCTCTTGGAAAATTCCATTTCTTATTATTCTCATGTTGAGAGGTTTTCCACTTTCCAACGCTTTGTAAATGCTATTCACATCTTGCACGACGTTTGAATTTATGTGCGTGACGACATCTCCGGTTTTGAGTCCGCTTATGTGTGCCGGAGATCCCGAAACGACTTTTCCTATCAATAATCCGCTCGTGATTTCTTCCGGCATGTGATACTCACCGAATCGCATTTCGTCCAACATGCCGGGAGTGAGGGAAAACACCGTCACGCCCGCGTATTTGAGTTTGACGATTTGCGAATTATGACGAACGATTCTCTGTTCGGATCTTTTCAAAAAACTTTTCGCGTAGTCGATGGGTATGGCGAAGGAAATCCCTCCGGCGATTTTCATGCAATTTATGCCGATGGCTTCTCCGTCCAAATTGACGAGAGGACCGCCGGAATTCCCGAACGTTATCGACGCATCCGTTTGCAAATACTCCATTTCTTTGTTCGTGATTCCGATTTCGGAGCTTTGACGACGAGTCGAACTTATGACGCCGCACGTTATAGAATTGGAAAGCGAGAGCGGACTTCCTATTGCCACGACCCATTCTCCGGGTCTCACGTCCGACGACGATCCCAATTTCATGACGGGTAAATTTTGCGCGTTGATTCGTATCGTTGCCAAATCCGATTTGAGATCGATGTCTTCGACGATGCCGGAAAATGTTCTCCCGTCTTGAAGTTTGATCTGTACGACGCTGTTCGTTCTGTTCATGACGACGTGAGCGTTCGTCAGTATCAAACCGTCTTTTCTCACTATGAATCCCGATCCGTTCGGTGGCATTATGTTGAAAAATCTCATGCTTTTAACTTCGATGTACACAACCGCGCTCGCAACATCTTCCACGACATCCGCGACGAAATTGAATCTCTGTCGCAAATTCAATTTCGACGAGTTTTCCGCTTCGACGGTCGGCATCCATTGAAAACATTTCAACGACAGTCCCAAACCAGCACCCGCGGAAAGTCCTTTTTTCCAATGACGGAACGCGTGAGTCGAAAAATTTCTCGCCAATTTTTTTAATTGAAAATTTTTATTTTTCAACGACTCGCGACAAAATATTTTCAATAAATAAAATGTAAACATTTAAAACGTAAATATTGATTGCGTCATTCACATTAATAGCAGACAAATTATGATTTTAATTAAAATGGCGGCCGGGTCCGGCCGCCATCGCAAGCAACATCGCCAAACTCACCGCAAAAACCTTTACATTTTACCAAGTCAAATTTGAAAATTTATTTACAACGTTGCCAAAACATCAATCAATTAAATTTTCTTCCTTTTTTTTTCCTATCAAATTTGCACTCCGATAAAAAAAGAAAAGAAAATGACCGAACGAAAGAGAGAGACAGAAAAAAAAAACAAGATTAAACGAAATCTGTTAAAATCGATTTTCGAATCTCTCTCTCTCTCCCCATTTTCACACTTTTTTTAAATTTAAAGAAGAAAAACCTTTTCCAAATCCAATTTCACATTCGAAATGGAAAAACAACCGACAACCTCAACCCGACAACCCTCCATTGTCATTGCCGTTCGTTTCGTTATCCTATCACAAACCATAGGTATATGTGACGTCATTCATCGCCAGGCGGAAAATCCGGCATGCCTCCATTTTAATAATATGAATAAATAAATAAATAAATAACTTACTGATCATCTGGAGTTAAATGAACGGGTTCATCCGTGAATTCCGGTGGAAAGTTAGCCAAATCCCTTTCAGATTCTAACCGTGGTTTGTAAGGCGGAGCCACTTGTTTTTGCTCAAGCTAACACAAAACATAAAAACATGCTCAACTAAATTCTAATAATAAACTAAAATTATTAACTTTTTTTCAACGGATAAATAAATAATTAAATAAAATAAAATAAAATTCAAAATTTAAATAAATAAAAATGCGTTCATGCCGCACGAAGGAAGTCACGGATCGGAAGTGAATACAAGAAACCGGAAAAGGAAAAGTCAGGAAAAATTAAAACGAATCGTCGTGGTAGTAACCAACATTCAACGATAATTTCGGAAATTTCACAGAGTAAATAAATTTTAAAAACAAAATGGCGGAGGCATTTACAACTCCTAACGGAGGGAATGTTATAACGGGGGGCGGGAGGAGTATGAAAATTTTCATGCAAGCTCTATCGTTGAGAAAAGCAAAAATATTATTATTATTATTATGCCTCGTATCATTCCTCGTGCTTTTGTTTATAAACAACCATGCGATATTAATTATGATAATTACAAATAATAATAATAATAATTCAAATCTTTATGCTCTCCCCCCGTAAAAAAAAAATTAACGACTCGAAAAATGCTTACAAAAAAAAATAAAATAATAATAATAATAAAAACATGTCCAGAATAATAATAATAATAAGAATAAATAAATAAATAAATAAATAATGCAGAAACTCATTTTAGTCATTTGTCTGCCGACAACAACAACAACAACAACAAACAACAACAAGGAGAATGACTTACGAGTCATCAGGAGTGAGTTCTGCCGGTTCTAACGTGAATTGGGGATCGAAATTATCAACATCGAATTCATCTTCTAATTCTGGACAATAGGGAGGCCGTACCAATTTTTGTTGCAACTGAAAAGGTCGTATACAAACTATAAATAATTTATGACGTCATTCATAGTAATAATAATAATAATGATAATGATAATAATGATAAAGCTAAGACATTTTTTTAAGGAAACCTATTACTGTTGTTATTATATTTTTGACTGCCGACATCTGTAACATTATACAAAAAAAAAGAAATTTCGGGAATTTAATACTAATAATAATAATAATGACATCACGTTCGAACTCTGCTTGGTTGTTTGTTTGTTGTTTGTATCCGTTTTATGCGCGAACGCATCATAATTTTGAATTTTATTCTCATTTATTTATTTTTCGAGAAATGTTATTATTAAATCGAAAATGATAAAGTAAAAAAAAAAAAAGGAAAGAACGGGAAACGGAAATGGGATGATTTTCCTGAATTCAATACAATTACCCTCATTATGATAATAAATCAGTTTTAAACCGGAAATGGAGAAAACGTTAAAATGACCTCATCATCGGGTTGACCGATCAGTAAAAGGTTCGAATATGACATACCAAAGAATACAAAGTTTCGAAAACGCGTAATGGAGAATGATGATGATGATGATGATGATGATAATAATAATTAATTTCAATTAACCCAAATTCATTCACCGAAAACGCGGCCGGTTTTTCCCTTTTCTCTTGTTTTGAGATAAAAAAAAAAAATTTTTTTTATGACTGAAAGAGTGTCTGTCGGTAAAAAAAAATGCATGCGCGGGTGATTATGACCGTCGTCATACGGTGGGGGCGTCACGCGCGTGTGTGTTTATACGTGCAGACCTTACGAACTAACCGAATTCCTGCGGTTGGGAAAAAAAAAAAAAACAGCGAAAAATAATAAATAAATAAATAAATTCTTTCTTTCACTCCCTCCCTCTTCCCCCTCCCACCACAACAGAATTTTCACGCTAACCCGTGCCGACACAAACACCCACCCACGCACGCACACCCGCACACACACACACGGAGGGACGACGGTAATAATTCATTTAATCGCCTTACGATCGACCTCCTCGTTCAAAAAAAAAAAAAAAAAAAAAAAAAAAAAACGAAGGAAAAAAAAAAAAAGGGGAACGATTCATTTATCGGTGTTGATTTTTATGTCAACCAGCGGTACGTAGTGGTGCGATGCCCCCCCATCGAAGAGGAGGAGGAGGGCGAAGTGATGCAGGGAGAGGGAGGAGGAAACGCAATGGTGTGTTGCCAAACTAAAAACACGTGTTAAAAACAAAATTGTTTCTTCTCGAAAATTCGAGGCAATTAAAATAGAAAAAAAATAAATAAATAAATAAATAATGAATTAATTTACTTTTGAATGCCCTCCCCCTCCCTTTCTCCCTCCTCTTCCTTCCCCCCCTCGAAAATGTCGTCGTTTAAACGAATTCTTCTTTATTTCGACGAATGTTTCGAAAACCGTCGTTAATTAATTTAATTTCATAAAAACATTCGAATCGATCCAATCACTCAACCGCCCATTTGAAATTAATCATTATTATTATCATCACTTTGAAGCCGAATACGGGAGTAGGGAGGGGGAGGAGACGAAATGGGGTTGGTTTCCGTCGTAAAAAAAAAAAAAAAAAAAAATAATTACCGGTTCCCAGTCGATGCTTTTGAAAAACGGATGATTGGCAATATCGTAAAATCCGGTGTCACGATGGCACCCGAGTCGATCCGCCGGATTTTTATTTAGGAAGCCCTTGAGCACGGACGCGGCTTTCACCGAAAGGGACCTTGGAATTCTAATCGTTTTCTCTAAAATAACTTGAAACAAATAATCTTCAGTGTTTTGATCTGGAATGTCGGAAGCTCCCGCTATGTCGAAGGGACTTCGTCCCGCCAACATTTCGTACAGGAGAACTCCTAATGCCCACCAATCCACGCTGAAAATAATAATAAATAAATAAATTTCCACTCACGTTCTCTTTTACTATACAATATATATAAAAAACCACCGCTTGCTAAAAAAAAAAAAAAAAATTAATGACGTCATTGGAAACTTCAAAGAGATTTATGCGGGTGGTAAGCAAAAACGTTCCCTCGTTCATCTCCTCCTCCCACGCCCCCCCCAAAAAAAAAATCATCTACGTCATTTATTTATTTTAGTTGTTCGTTTCATCGATCATCGTCATCGTGTAAGACCTTATATACCAAAAATCCCTCCTCCTCTACTACTTTTCCCACGTATTTACATCATCAATACGGTATAAACAAAAGGGAAAATTACACCGGAAATTATTTCGTACTCACCTGAAACCGTAATCTTCTCCCCTTAGGATTTCCGGAGCGATGTAATTTGGCGTACCGCAAAACGTCGACGTCGTGTCACCCGGCCTTATCCCTTCCTTACACATTCCGTAATCCGTCAATTTTATGTGACCCTCGTGATCGAGCAAAACGTTATCTAATTTCAAATCTCGATAAATAATACCTGAAAATGAAATGAAGGATGTCAAATCATTCTTGGATGATTCGCATTGGGAATTTTTTTTTTTTTTTTGTTTTAAATTAAGTGAAACCTTTGTCGTGTAAAAAGTTAAGAGCCAAACTAATTTCCGCCGCGTAAAACCTCGCGTGTTCTTCCGGTAATCTCCTTTGCCTTTGCATGTGAAACATTAAATCTCCGCCCCGTACGAATTCTATCACAAAAAACAAACGACTCGGCGTTTGAAAGCAGGAATGTAGGCCCACCAAAAAGGGATGATTCGAAGCAGTCTCAAAAACGTGCTTTTCAGTCTGAACCCAGTCGATATCCTACAACATCAACAACAGCAAAATTAATTTCGAGTCTACTAACCTTAGAACTTGTGTTCGACCCCTACCCCCCCTCCCTCCTTCCCTCCCCCCCAGAATTATTACTCACCTCATCATCCGTCATCAAGGCTTTTTTAATTACTTTCATGGCGTAAATCCTTTTCGTTTTCTTCAATTCGACCATTAATACTTTTGCATAACTTCCTCGTCCTATAACGCGTATGAGTTCGAAATCGTTAAGCGAGTACTGCCTCTGAGAACCGGGTTCGAGTTCATCGTCTGGAAAAAAAACAATAATAATAATAATAATAACAACAATATGTGGAAAAAAAAAAATCGAATCGATAACGAAATTGAATTCTGTGCGAAAAGAAAAATTTTCACGGGGAGAGGAGGGGAAAAGGGGGGAGTCTAAAATACAAAAATTTGGCTCGCTTCATCTGGAGAGCGGGGGAAGGAGGAGGAGAGGGGGAGGCACCAAGTGAAATAAAAATGATGTTGGTAAAAATCACGGCTGATATAAAATAATAATTTTTCGCGTGATTAAGTGAAAATTTCCTTTCCTTCGCTTTCTCCCCGATTCTCCCCAAAAGAATAATCCGTTAGGGGTAAGGGAGGGGAGCAAAGGGGGAGTTACGAACCACACATTAATTTCCGAAAACTTTAATAAAAAAAAATATAAAATTTTGATTTTTTTTTTTTTAAATTTAATAAAGCGTTTCGTTTTAAACTCGTAACAAAAAAAAAAAAATTTTTTTTTTTTTTCCTTTTCACCTTTTCAACGATTCCCCCTCCCCCTCCCATCGCATTTTCTCACATTTTCATTCTCCTCCTCCTCCATTTATCCTCCTCTTCCACTCTCCGAAATCGATTTCAAATAATTTCAAGATTTTAAAACCTTCAAGGGAAAAAATATAAAAAAAAAAAAATCATAAAAGTTCTAAAAAAAAAAATGGCGCCTCGGATATTCAAGCGGTAAACCGTAAATGTTTTAATAAGGGATTTCTCATTTTACAACCCGTTAAAGAAGTTGTAAATAAATCCAGTAAAAAAAAAAAAAAAAAAAAATTTTTTTTACTTTTCTTTCTCTTTCTACCTCTTTCCCTTTTCCACCCCCTCTCTCTCTATCAGTAGCTGGAATTATTATTATTATTATTAAAAGGGAGAAAGAAAAAAAAAGTGCGGACGAATATAAACGATGAGAGAAAGGAACGATTTAGGGAAAAAGACAAAGTGAGAAATAGAAAGAAATGGGAAGGGAGGAAGGAAGAGAGAGAGAGGAGGGGTGGGGTGGGGTGAAATAAGAAAGTAAAGCGCCTAATAATAATAATAATAATAATAATAATAATAATAAGTAAGAAAAAATACTTCTCAATTTGAAACCGTCGTTCCGACGACAACTTTTTCAAAAAAAAAAAAAAAAAAAAACAGAATTGAATGGAATAAATTCTCTCGAACGTAATATACAAATTCTCTCAACCCTTAAAAAATTTAATGCCACGTTTTTTTACATCCCCCGCACCCCCTTGTCCCGACCATCGTCCCTCATGATCCCTCATCATTAGATTTTTCTCGAAAGTTGAAAAAAAAAAAAAAAAAAAAAAAAAATTTCGCCATCGGGATGAAAAATTCAAAATCCTCGTTATTGTTATTATTTATTTATTTTTTTTTTTTTTTACCCTTATGACCTCTTGATTTCCCCCTTCTCCACCCGACCCCCACCCCCACAACCTTGCTTTTTCATCTTCCCGTTAATGCTCAACCGAAAACTGCGAGTTTTTTTTAATTACGTATAAAATAATTTATAAAAGATTTTAATTTTTTATTTATTTTTTTTTCTTCCCCCAAAAATATTAAAACAAAGATTAATCCGATTAAAAGATTAAGATGGTTAATCTAGATTTTATGCATTTTTAATTATAATTAATTACTCTTCATGAGGAGAAGAAGAAGAAGAAGAAGAAGAAAAAAAAATAAATACATAGGATGAACAAAAAGAATAAACCGGACAGATAGATAGAGAGATAGAGAAAATAGATATAGAGAGAAAGAGATAAAGGAACAGAATGTCAGAAAGGTTGCGTGTCGAAGGTTGGGAGGTGGAAAAGGAAAAATCAAATTAAATTTTCATTCCTTTCGCCGTGAAAAGTGTTCGCGTGTGCACCATCATAATCGTTTTCGCGACGACCCCCGGTGAGGTGGGGGGGAGGTCACCAACACTTACTTGGATCTTCTACGGCTACGGATTCCGTCGTGGACAATTCCAATTGAGGCTCGTGGAAATCTTTCAATTCCGACGTCGGAGTCGACATGGTGGGAGTGACTCCGTTCGTGTTGTCGTCCCTGACCACGGGTTCGACGTGTTCGTTGCTGCAAGGTTTCTGTACTAGTTTGTGACATTTTTTGTGCACGAGGAGCTTGCATTGAATGCACTTGAAACCTTGCCTTCCTAATCCCCAGATTCGATCTTCGCAAAAGGCACAAAACGCTCGCTACAACAAACAACAAAGAAATGAATGACTTTTCATAACAAACTTTTTTTTTAAAACAACAAACAACAAAAACTTCGATACTACAATCCTTTAAATAATTAATCAATTTGTATTATTAAATAAATAATAACAAACGATCAAACAATAAATAAATAAATAAAACAAAAGAATTTTTTTTGAAAAGAAAAGAAAAAAAAACAAAGAATTGGCACGAAAGAGGAAACGGATTAATTAATTATACGATTCACTATTGACACGACACGCGCCGGAGACTTCCATGCTTTTCGAAAACTTTGACACAATTTATTTTCTTATATATTCACGCGTCATCATCACGGAATACGAAATACAAATACCACGAGAAAAAAAGAGAGAGAGAAATAGAGAGAGAGAGAGAGAGAGAGAGAGCGAGAAAGCGAGAGAGAGAGAGAGAGAGAGAGAGAGAGAAAAAATAATAATAATAATTCGACGCGTGTAATCCGGTTCGTAAGCTTAGTCCCAAAGGCTCTTAATAGTTCAGTACCTTAAACCCCAAAATCCAAAAGGTTTTAAATCCCACGCTCTGACCTCTCCCGTCCTTTTTTCTAACAACAAAAAAAAAAAAAAGGAAAAACCTTTTTTCCCTCTTCCTTCTCTTCCTCTTCCCCTCTCTCTCCCCCTCCTCTCTTTCAGTTAAAAAAAAAAAAATCTGCACACATATTTAGGTCAATATCGATCTTTAAACCGAGCTATTAAATTATTTTATAGCAATAAAAAAAAAAAACATTCAAAAAGCTTTTCCCTGTTTATTATTATTATTTAATAATGATGATAATAATAATGATGATGATAATGATGATAAATAAATAAACAGCAGGAATCACATTAAAAACTTTAGCTTTAAACGTTTTTTCACGGTCGTTAAATTCGGTCGTCGCCGGAGCCAAATTAAAACCGGAGAGGAAAGAAAGAAAAAAAAAAATTAATACGATTTTTTTTTTTAATACGTATTATCAACGACATTATTTATTGAAGGAAAGCACCGAAGCGAGAAACCACCAACGACGAAGATTAAAACGGGGGAAAAAAAAAACAAAAACAAAATGGCGATTAAGCGCACGAAATTAACGCGAAACCTCAGAGAAATAAAATAAAAAAAAATTAAAAAATTAAAACCACGACGATACTACGTATAAGAGAAAAAAATCATGTTCTCGAATTTTCCGCCATCACGAATCGATGGATAATTTTGCTGGGAGGGGGAGGGGAGGGGAGGGAAAGGTGGGAATTCAGGTTGTCCAACGGTCAAGAGGGGAAAAAAAAAAAAAAAAAAACGATTGAATGAGTTGAATAAAATCACCGAAACTTTTTAGGTAATAAGCCGACGGCATATCCGTTAAAATTTTTCTTTCTTTTTGATTCAAGTAGTACTTCCGGTAATTTTCTCCTACATCCGTTTCCGATAAATCGAACCGGAAAAAAATAAATAAATAAATAAACAAACACCTGAAATCGATGACGAGTATTTTACAAATGTGCCACCATCGGGTTTAAATTCGAAAACGACGACGACGATAATAATAATAATAATAATAATAATAATAATAAAATTTTCCTACATTTTCTTTTTTTTAAAATTTTATTTATATGAAAACTGGTTGTTTGGGAATTTCTAAACAACAACAACGAAACAAAAAAAAAAAAATTTTTTTTAACATTCGAGATGAAATTTACATAAAAAATAAATAATAAACGATGACGTGGGCGAAATTCAAAAATGTTTTTTTTTTTTTTTTCATCCCGGAGGAGAGGTGGGAGCAAAAGAGGGAAGAGAAAAGGGGAAGGATGGGTGAGGAGCGGGAAGGGGGAAAATTCGAAATAAAAATAGATCAAATTTGAAAATAACGCATTTTTTTTTTCTAAAAAAAAAAAAAAAAAAAAAAAATCGTCGATCATATCGTTATCGAATTTATTCGACCTTTTAACACGGGACTTTTCTTTCTCTTTCCCTCTGCTCTCTGCCTCTGTCTCTGTCTCTGTCTCTCTCTCTCTATCTCCTATACACGCGTCGTAAATTAATTAACGGAAAAATTTTCATTTTTTCTAATCAAAAAAAAAAAAAAAATCGAATGCATAGAGAGATAGGCGGGAAAGAATGAGATAGATAGATAGATAGAGAGATAGAGAGAAAGAGAGAGAGAGAGAGTAGGGTCGAATACACAATACTGCCAACATTTTTTTTTCTCTCTCGCGAGTATATTCCGTTCCCATTTTTTAAAATTTTTTCCCAGGTGTCTTAAGAGAGCAAAAAAAAAAAAAAAAAAAACGTTTTCAAATTAACGAGGAAAATTTTTTTCCAGGGAAGAATCCTACGTACCTGGATTCATGTACGAAACATCCTTTTTTTTTTTCTTTCGTTTTGAAATTTGTAATTCCGCTCCCTTCCCTTCCCCCCTTATCGTTCCGCAACAAAAACTATTTCTCTCTCTCTCTCTCTCTCTCTTTCTTTCTTTTTAGTAGAAAAGGATGAAATTTATTTTAAAGATGTAATTTTTGTTTTTTAATCAAATATGTTTACGGTATGACGTAAAACTGCAAAACTTTTGAAAGGTTTTAAGGATTTATGGTGGTAAACTTCGACATTTTCCCAAGTTTTCTTTCGCACGCGCTCCCCCCGCCGCTCCCGCTCTTCATCCCTTTCCTCCCCCCTAGTATTCTCGTAAGAAAAGAAGAAGAAGAAGAAGAAAAACGCTACGAAGCTGAGGGTTCGAATATGAAAAATAAAAATTTTAAAATAAAAAAATTATAGCCACTCATCAACTTTTAATTGAGATGAAAATTAGATAAAAAAAAAAAAACAGAGAGAGAAATAGGGGTGGGGGGTAAGGGAAGATGAAAAGAGAACAATAAAGAAAAAACAAAAGGAAGGAAAGAGAGAGAGAGAGAGAGAAAAGGAAAAAAATTTCCCAAAGGACGAAAATCAATTCATCATGTGGCATTACCTTATAATTTTCTCGCCTTTTTTTTTCTCCTTTCCTTTCCTTTCCTCTCCCTCCCCTTCCTCCATCCTTTCAACCTATTTTCCTTTCCAACGTTTACAATTACGTAAGATAAACCCAGAGTCGGGGAAAAGAGAGAGAGAGAGAGAGAGAAAGAGAGGAAAAGGAGGGGAAAAAGAAAAAAAAATTTCGCCCAGCCATCCATCAGTCGATATTTATCAGTCATTAATCTTACGGAAAGAACAAAAAAAAAAAATGAGGAGAAAGTGGGGAGGGGGGTAAAAGAGAAACGTAAAAACGACGAGATGTGAGGGATAGAGGGGGGAGGATGCGAGGAGGGGGAAAAAAAAGCAAAAGATTTAAAAATCGTAAAGAAGAGAGGAAAAAAGAGAAAATGTCAAATATGAAATTATTCGACTACTCACTCTATTGAATCTTTTGGCTTGAAAAATGTGTCCGTTAACTCTATAAAGTTTCCTCCACCTTCGAGCTCCCCTGCGATAAATGCTCCCTGTAAACACATAAAAAAAAAAAAAATTATAAAAAACTCGCGTCCCGTTAAAAAAACAACAACAACAATAACAACAACAACAACAACAACAATAACAACAATAACAATAAAAACGATAATCAAAAATTAAACGATGTGACCTTTGAAGAAAAAAAACGTCGACGTGGCAGTAGAAAATCGTATAAAATGAAAAACATAAATAAATTATTATTATTATTATTATTTTTATTTATTTATTAAAAATTCAAACGTCGTCGTTATCGAAGTCACAAAACCGTCAACACTAAAAATTATCGGAGAAAGGAAATATAAAAAATAAATAATGATAATAATAAAAAATTAACAAAAACGACAGCTCCGAACGGAAACGAAGAAAATGGCAAAAAGGAAAACAAATAAAAAAAAAAAAAAAAAAAAAAAAAAAAGAACAAACGGAGGGTGGGGGAAAAAAAAGGCGGTTGTTGTTTTACGAAACTCTTGACACGAACGATTTGCATAAAAAAAAAGAAAAAAAAAAGGAAAAAAAGGAAAAAAAAAAGGAAAAAAAGGAAAAAAAGGAAAAAAGTGGCACTTTGAAAATATAACAAACCAATAATGTATATATATATAGGTTGAAAATTTTTTGATATTTTCTTTCTCTCCCCCCCCCTCTCTCTCTCTCTTGCTTCTTGCCTTTTACCCCAACTTTCTTTCCCTCTTCTTTTCACCCTTCCCACCCTTTTTTCAAACTTTACTCTCGTCGTCGATGACTTTCCATCAATTTTTTAAATCAAACCTTTGACATTTTCCATTCTTCGAACGATACTGATTTCTTTGATTCCTCCTCCTCCCTTCCACTATCCTCCCTCCAATTATCAACTTCCAGTCAGTTCCAGTAGAAAAACAGTTTTCCGGAAAACAAATAAAAAAATAAAAATAGTTTTTTGTTGTTTATACCAAACGATAATGCATTATGTCTCGAAAGACACAAGTAATGAAAAACTTTATTCGTTGAAATAATAATAATGATGATGATGATGATGATGATGACGTCACCTAACGACCTTTTCAACCGTTTTATTATCAATTTTATATTTTTTTTTTTGTACGACATAATCAACAAAGTTTTCTTGTTATTTTTAATGCAAAACTACAACAAAAACAAATCGTGTAAAAACCAGAGTAATTTTAGAAACCTTTTTTCTTTTCTCTCTCTCTCTCTCCGGTGAAAAAAGAGAGAGAGAGAGAGAGAGAAAACCCAATAATTTTTATGCATTTAAAAAAAAATATAAGATCTCCACTCGAGCTCTCAACTTTTTTTTTTTTTTTCTTTTCCGACGGAAGCGACGGGAAAAAGAAATTTTATTTTGAAAAAAAAAAAAAAAAAAAAAAAAAAGGTAGGATTTCGATGAATTTTATGACGTGCAACACACGTCAATCGCGAAAGAAAATTTAAAATTAAAAAGTATTTAACTACTTCCGGTTGACTGAATCTTTACTACTGAAAATTCGATCGATTCGAATACGTAATAGATAGATAAATATTTCGCCTTCGCCTCGGTTTCTTTAGGGTTTCGTAACGGAACAAAAAAAAAAAAAAAGAAAAATAAACGGTAGGGGAATAAAATTTTCCGACAGTTTCGAAACCGGAAACGCGAGTCGAAAAACGGAAAATCGATATTTTATTGTTGATTATGTAATTATCAAATATCTTAAAGGGAAAATTTACTTTGATTACATTTGCCAAACGAATCCGCGAACCATTGTCTTACTTTTACGTGTTTATTAATTAATAATTATGTAATTAAAAACGGGGGGAAAAATAACATAATAATAATAATAATAATAATAATAATAATAATAATTACGCCGAAGAAAAAACGTTAAAGAAAAAAAATTCCAGGAAAAAAAAGCCCCTTGAAAAAAAATTAGGCAATTCAAATGATGCATCATATTTGCATAAACATGTTTTCGACGGCGTTTTTTTCCGTTAAATTTTTTTTTTTTTTTTTTTTTAAATTTAAAATCATATCGCATTCAACTCGTAAAGAAAAAGGAAGAAAAAAAACACGAAAAAGAAAAGCATGATGGGGGGCAAAAAGAAGAAAAAGAAGAGACGAGGAAAAAAAAAAAAAATAGAAACCTTTAACTAATTTTCACTCGGTTGAATTTCTTACAAAATCAAAGACAGAGAGAGAGAGAGGGGGGGGGGAAAAGAAAAGCCACACGTTAAACGAAAACGCTAATGTTGAAACCTAGAAACGTTTTATCATTACAATCATCAATCATGGCAGATTTTCCATACGCAACTTAATCTATTTTTTTTTTTTTTTTACCTCCTCCTCCTACTCCGCCTCCTTCTCTTCGTCATCATCATATTTCCCCGCCTTATTCTTTCTTTGTAAACTTAAAATTTATGTTTAAACGGAAATAAAAAAAAAAAAAAAAATTTCTAAAACTTTTTTTTAAAGAAAAAAACAGCAGCGGCAGCATTAGCAGCAACAGCAACGACAACAACAACAACAACAACAACAGCAACAAAGAAAAAAAAAGAAAAGAAAAACGATTCATTGTCTTCATATTCTTATAAGTTTTAATTAAAATAAAAATAAAATAAAAAACTCAGTCATGTGTTCATTTACAACGATTTAACTTTTTTTTTCATTTTCCAACTAAAAGCTTTTCTTTCTCGTTTCCTTTTCTTTCCCTTATGTTTGTCATAATCATCATCATCATCATCATCGCATCTTTTCTTCTTTTGATTAATTTTCCAAAATTAATTTTAAACCAATTTTTCAATTGTCTAACAACTAACGACGAGACGGAAGCAAATACAAACGCACACACGCCGCGAAACGATTACAACAAAATATGTATCAACGATAATTAATTTACGACACAAAAAAAATAAAAAATAAACGCGCGTTAAAAAAAAAATATGGCGACGGCGGCGACGATGACGACGATTAATAAAATTATAAACCACTCAAACTTTCGACCAAAAAAAAAAATAGAAAAAAAAGAAAAAAAAAAGTTTTGGATCATTTAATGAAAAAAATGACATTGCGGAAAAGCGAAACAAAAAAAAAAGAGAGAAAAAGAGAAAGAGAGAGAGAGAGAGAGAGAGGGAGAAGAAAGATGAAAAACGAAAAAGCAGAAGAAAAAAAAAACAAAAACAAAAAAAAATGAATTAAAAGCAAAACGCGCTGCTAATCGAAACTTAATATCCGTGGCAAAAAAAAAAAAAAAAACAATTTTTTTTCATTTTCCACACAAGCGACAATATTTAAAATATATTACGAAACGCACCGGAAAAACAAAATGAAAAATAATAATAATAATAATAATAATAATAATAATACAAAATTTTCCTTCACTTTTCCCCTTTAATCGAATTAAGGAAAAGCGCAAAAGAGAAAACACATACGATGACAACAAAAAATTAATAATTTTTCTTTTCTATTTATCGGCTCGTTATTTTTAATTTTATAAAAGGACCAACAAACAAACAAACAAACAAACAAACAATCGAACGAAACGTACAAACAAAACAAAAAAATTCCTCGCATCGATGACAAAAACGAAAAAAAAAAAAAAAAACGCGCGAGTTAAATGCGGAAAACTTAACAGAAACAAAAAAAAGCAAAAAAATACTTACGATCTTCTCCGGGACATGGCATTCCAGGGGCAGGAGGAACTCCCGGGAAAACTGAAACGAAAAAAAAAAAAAAAAAATTAATATTTTTTCTCTCACTTTTTTCCTTTTTCTCTCTCTCTCTCTCTCTTTCTCTCCCCCTCCTCGCATTCAAGAAAATGATAATCCGGACTGAATTATTACGTTCCAAAATCCAAAGTTTTGAAATTTTTGTAAATGAAGATGAAAATGACCAAAGTTGGAGGAAAAAAGAAAGAAAAAAACTGGGAAAGAAAAATCTAGAAAATTATTCTTTTAAACTTTGACTTTTCCCATTTTCTCTCTCTTTCTCTTTTTTTTTTCTTTTCTTTTTCTTTCCTTTTATTGAAAAAAAAATTTTTTCTTTTTCCCTTACAAAAAAAAAAAAAAGGCAACTTTCGGCTCAGGTGTTTTTCATTACCAACTCGTCTTTTTTTCCAGTAAATTCCAAAGGAAAAAAAATTAGAGAGAATGGAAGGAAGGAGAAGGGGTAGGAGAGGAGGTGGGAAGGGAAAAAAAGGCACAAAAATAATTATCCGTTTTAGAAATAGAGAGAGAAAGAGAGAGAGATAAAAAAAAAACGTTTCCATTATAAAAATTTAACTCAAATTATTGATTTTATTTCCGTAAGAAGAAAATTTCTTTTCTTTTCTTTCTCTTTCCTTTTCCTTCTTCTTCTTCTTTTCCTCCATTTTTTCTTTCTTTTCATTCTCTTCTACAAACTAAAATAATTCATCATCGACAAGAAGAATAAAAAAAAAAAAAAGATTGATGAATTCGTGATGAAGGACAAGAGGGTGAAAAAAAAAAAATTAAAAATCATCGAGAAAAATGACAAAGGTATTATTATCATCATCATCATCATCATTGATTTTTCGTTTCTCCAGTAATTAATTTCCAAAAGAGGAAGAATACAATAATAATAATAATAACATAACCGAACGTCAGAGGAAGGAAGAAAATTTCACAACAAACCACCGACGATCACCCGGGACCATAATTTTGATTTTACATTTAAAAACATTCAAAATTTTGAAATTCCAGTAAATTCCAGTAAGAACATTTTTTGCTCATTATTATTATTATTATTATTATTATTATTATTATTATTATTATCATCATTTTTCTTTTTTTCTTTAGTTTTCTCCAAAAAGAAAAAGAAAAAAAAAATTTTTTTTCACTTCAACAATTTTTTTTCTTTTTCTTTTTTCGAATTCGAAACATCTTTTCTCGAAAAAAATTAAATCTTATTTAATTATTATTATTATTATTATTATTATTATTATTATTATTATTAAAATTTCTGGAATTTTACGATTGATTCCATAAATACGTAACGAAGAATTCCACACTCCGATATAAAAAAAAAAAAAAAAAAAAAAAAAACCAGCTGGAAAACAACGAAAAAGAAAAGATAATAATAAAATTGTATCTCGTTAAATAAATTTATTTATTTCACTTCGCCATAACTTTTCACACGCGTCGTTTCCACCCCCCACTCCCCACTCAACTCACTCACTCCTATCTCTCTCTCTTTCTCTCTCATTTTCCATCTTTCTCGCGCTCCCGCATTCGCTCGTAAACGGAAAAAAAAAAAAAAAACCAAAGAAAAGAAAATTATTTTGCACACAAATAGGAAGGAAAAAAAAAAAAAATAATAATAAACGAGTTTTCGTTATTTAAAGTTTAAAAGCAAAAAACTTTTTTATTTATTTATTTTTTTTCCACTTTCTAATTTGGCACACCTGCGACGTACGATATAGTCTTTTAATGTTTCGACGACGTACCTGAAATTTAACCATTAATAAACCATATTATGGTAATGATAAAATAAAATTGAGAAAAAATACTTTTTTCTTTCTTTTTTTTTTTTTTTTTTAAGGGGGGCAGGAGAAAAAGATTTTTCGGTAAAGAAAAAAGAAAAATGGCCGTAAAAAATCAGCGACTTTACAACAACAACAACAAACAGTTACGAGAAGGGGAGAAAAAAAAAAAAAATTCGTCAAATTAAATTTTATTGACAATAAAAAAAAAATAAAAATAAAAAAATAAAAAGTTAAAATAACGACAGAGATATTAAAAATAATAATTACATTTCCCCCTCTCCCTCCTTTTCTCCCTCTCTTCCCCTCCCCTCGGAAAAACCCGTCGTCGTCTGCTCGTCGTAAATGACAATCAGAAAAAAAAAAAAAAAAAAAAAAATATAAAAAATTAAATTACTTTGACGACGCACGTACACGACATTTCGTTTTCCCCCTCCTTTACCTGCCTGCCCCCCAACTGAAAACCTGCCCATCGGTTTCTATCCCTCCCCCATTCCTAATTCGTTTCAAATTTTTATCTTGACTTAAACGTTTTGAGATTTTTTTTACAAAAAAAAAAAAAAAATTTTTTTTAAATTATTCCTAACGTGTCGCATCGAGTATAACGCCCCCCCCCCGCACAATGACTCACTACCATCGTCATCATCCATCGATTATAAAAAAAAAAAAAATTTTCCGATGACGTTTCCGTTCCGGGAAAAAAAAACAAAACGAAACGAAAAAAATTAAACAACGATAAAAAAAAAAAACTCAAGCGAACAAACAAACAAACAACAATCAACAATCGAACGGCTATGCTGAAAAAGGATGTGCAGAAAACCAAAAAAAAAAAAAAAAATTATCGTCCTCGTGCTCATGGGGCGAGGAAGGGGGGAACTTTCATTTTTTAAAAAATATACGCACTAAAAGAGCGGGGGAAGAGGTGAAAGGGAGGGGGAAAGAAGAGAAAAACATTTTTTCGGAAAATTTTCATTAATGCCGATGAAGAAAATCAATTTAATTAACATTTAAAGCTCCCCCGTACTTCTGAGGATTTTTTCCAGCGTTCATTCCAGAGGTTTCTACCCGATTCCTTTCGCATCACAGGATGATATCCGGTTTGTACGACTACCACAGCTTTTCATCGCCCTCATTGGTCCTACAGACAACCGGGTACATATCCAACAGCGTCATAACTCCACAGATATTCATTTCTTTCCAAAGTTCCTTACGAATGAATTTAATCTTACGGAAAACCCGTTTACTAATTTATCATCATCATCATCATTATTATTATTATTATTTACTTTTCACATCACAATTTCCTTTTCATCTTTTATAAAAGCGAAGCAATGCAAAGGAAAGAGAGAGAGAAAAAAAAATTTTCTCCCTCGCTACTTTTTTTTTTTTTTTTCTTTCTTCCTCTTTTCATTTTCCAGCACTTTTCCGATCGTTTTATTTTCCCCTTTTTTTCACTGGTGAAGTGAATTCCTTCCTTCTTTTTAAAAGCAGAAGAAAAAGAAGAAGAAAAAAAAAAGAAAAAAGAGAAAAAACAATTCAATCAACGGATTTAAAGAAAAAAAAAAAAAATTTCCTTTCCCTTCTTTTTTTTTTTTTAAATTTTTTCCAACGTAATTTACAGCGTCAGCGGCAGGACGAGGACGACAACAACAACAACAACAACGACAACAACAACAAGAACAACGACAACAACAACGACAACAACAACAACATCAACAACAGTCGACATTAAATTAAACTCATTCGCATATACCTCTCTTCAAACGCTTTCTAAAAATTTCTTTTCTTTTCCACCGTAATAACTTTACATAAAATTCATGTTTGTATAAATGTATATATTTGAACCAAAAAAACTTTCCAGAACGGTAAACAATTTCTCTGAGCTTTTTTTTAAATTTATAACGTAAAGCAAAATAAAACATTTTGTAAATAAATCTCCTCCCCCCCCTCCGACTTTTCGTGTGTGTGTGTGTGTGTTTGTAACCTCTCAGAAAACAACGCAAACTTATACACACAGGAGAGAAAAAAAATGGCGGAAGAGTAAAAACAAGAAACCGGAACGAGCAAATAAACAAAAAAAAAAGAAAAGAAGAAAAAAAAAAAAAAAAAAAAAAAAATTAAAAAGACGAATTTATTTATTTATTTACTTTCATTCCGTACTTTATATAATTTAAAAAAAAAAAAAAAGGAAAATTTTAAATTACCGTTTTCCAAAACAGAATAGCCAACAAAATAAAATAAAAAAAAATTTTTTTTTTTAAATTCGCATGGAAAATCACTCGGAAAAACCAAACAACAAGCTCATGAATGTGCAAAACCTTTTTTTTATTTAAAACTAATATTCAAACTTCATGTAATAAATCAAAAAACCTTTCAAAGAAAGAAAAAGAGAGAGAGAGAGAGAGAGAGGGGGGGGGGGAGGGAAGAAAGTAAAAAAAAGGTGAAGAAAATAAGGAGAGGGAGGGGAGAAAAAAAGGGAGGAAAGGAGAAATAAAAAAAGAAAAAGAAAAAAAAATTTTCAACATTTTTCTCCTTCTTATACGCAAAACTACAAAAATATCGCGAAATAAAAATTTTAGAAAAAAAAAAAAAAAAACGTGGAATTAGAACAATCGCAAACCGGAAATAAAAATCACATCCTCGCATTTTAAACTAAACTATAACAATTCGAACATTTTCTTCTTTTAAACTTTCACGCGACAAATCTTCTTCCAGCAGTAAAAAAAAAAAAAACAAAAATTTCCACCGCCTTTCTAGAAAACAAATCGGCCCCCCACATGTTCGCACACGTATTCGGGGGGGGGGGGTTTCGTGATTTTCCCAATTCCAAAACAAAAAAAGATTTTTATCTCGGATTTGTTTTGGGTTTTTTCGAACGACAGAATCCGGGTACGACGACGACCAAGTCAAAATCGTAAATCATTTTTTTTTTTTTTTTTTTAAAATATTACCGTCGAGGACTTCTCTCCTTCTCACTCTCCCTCTTCACATTTCCCCTCGCCCCACCTCTTTCATTCGATTTTTATCTTTTCGAACGTTTTCAAATTTATAAAAAAAAAAAAAAAATTTTCCACGGCTCCCTAACACGAAAAAACTCGCTGACTCCCCACCTAAACCTTTTTTTTTATTTTATTTATACGAGAGGGAGCCCATATGCGTGTGTGTGTGTGTGTGTGCGTGTGTG